ATATATATATATATATATATATGACGTTTCATTTACAAACCATGTAATTCTAACAAATTTTACAAACTAATCTTAACCGTCAATCTACTTTAATAAATATTTGATTTTATTTTGTTTTTAAATTTAAAGCCATGATCATAATAAATGAACTTTATCATCTTTCATATATAATTATATATCTTAATCATAATTAATGAATCATGACATATAAATATCTCAATTGGTTCCTAATATAATGGTTTGTAAAGAATTATATGATTTGTATTTGAAACCAACCCTGTATAGATTCAAATGAAAACAATAACTAAATAAAAGAACACGAAAACAGCAAAATAACATGCAAAATCACCACTAACGGTCAACGTAATGGTGTGCAAGCGGCGTGGCCTGTAACCTCATAATAATCATCATAATCTTAACTAATTCAAACACATATATACTTGCTGACGAAAGATCATGTGAAAATAAGAGTTAATATGAGAAGCGTAAGAAATAATCCGGACCCTTAATCACTTCTAATCTCACCCCCCATCCAATGAATTACGCTTATCACGGGTTATCCGATGCATCTTGGTACACAACATTAGTGCTAATCTTCAATTTGTATTTGATCCAACGATGCATATCCCTTTTCACCCTTCTCACCATATTCCATTCTCACTGGAACCCAACCCTATATATAGGTGTTTGTTGGTGTCATCAAGTATTTTGGTGCAAATCCAATTTACTCGAGATCGATTAAGGCGATGACAAACATATGTAAGTTAGGTGGTGCAGAGTGACACTTACAAATGTTGCTTCTATCACCTTAGATCGCCATAAACTTGGGGTCAAGGGGGTCTTCAGCTGTCGCTGACCAATCTTTAGCTTATCACTGAACGAGTATTTAACTGTTGCTGAACATGTTTTCAGCTTATCACTGAACTTGTTGTTTTCAAAATTCCAGAGTCAGTTGTAACTGCTCTTTGACTTTATCCATTAACAGTTATAATTGTTAAACCGTCAATAACCGTTGATCTCTCATTTATAGGATTGGATTATTGTATTCAAAAAGTAATTTCCGACTTGATTTTTTTTATCCAGCATCCGAAATTTAGTTCCCTCACAGTGTTTACATATGTGGGTGTATAAGATATTATTGTATTTAAAAAAGAATATTATACAATTTCTTTTTAAAAAACAATCTAAAATACATGTCTGATTAGCTGCTGTTTAGTAGTTGTTGAATGATTTGATGCAGAGTGATTAAGTGGTTAGAATGATTAACAAACTCTCATGATATAGTATAAAATGAAATATAATTGTTCGATAATAGTTTACAATGGAATTAAAGTGCTGAATGGTTAAGCAAGATCCATGATACAAAATCATTCAGAAGGTTTTTATATCTATTACAGAATTTTTTTTTTAAATCAAAATACTTTAAATTCATTTGATTCATGATTGGACCAGAACCTTGCAGAGCCCAGATACGTTTTGACTTTTGAAACCATAGTATTTGAATCTTTATCATGTTAAAAAAGTTGTTTTTAAAGTTCGATGTAGGTTTTTATTTTTATTTTTAAAGTATATAATATTTATATACGACAAATGTAACAAGTAAACTTATACATTCTTTAATTTTTGATAAGGATTGAACCTCTGACCTTTTAGGAGACCAAAGACTACAATATCACTAGACTAAAAATCCTTTGGTATCACTATAGCAAAATTGGACTTATAGGACACTCTCAATCCCTAAGCGTCCTAATAAACATTTTTATAAGACTTAGTTTATAGGTCCAAAAAAATAAAGCATCCTACCTAAAGGCGCTGTAATAAGTTTATATGACATTTTTTAATGTCGTAATAAGTTTTTTAGGATACTTTTAATATAAAACGTCTCATTAGCAACTTTATAGGACATTATTTGAAAAATTGTCATATAAAAACAAGTGTCCTATAAAAAATTGAGTTTATATGACACTTTCTCAAAAGTGTCCTGTAAAGTTGCTAATACGACACATTGTACTAAAAATATCCTAAAAAACTTGTTAAAACGCTCAAAATCGTCATATAAACTTATTACAACACTTTTAGATATGACACTTTATATTATGGTCATATAAATTAAGTTTTATAGAGCGGTTTATTGAGACACTTAAAGATTGGAGGTGTCCTATAAACTCAATTTTGTTGTAGCGGCACTTGTCGAAGCGACGTATATAATCGACACATGACAACCCATGGCTTTAATCACGATCACCATAGAATCAATCATGTTTTTGCACAAGTTTTTAGTAGCATGTTGTTCGTCTATCTCTATATATAGGTTTAGATTAAGGGAAAAACCGTAAAAGAACAAAAAACTAAGTAACAATCTGATAACTGTTTATCTGAACGATATGTACATGTAGATACAAGTAACTTGTAAGCTATTTTTCCGCTATGCACATGTGCATAACATTTATATTATATATTACCGATCATTGAAACACAAAAAATCATATTGCAACATGGGCTACATATATATATATATATATATATATATATATATAATTAAACTTGAAATAGAAATAAACACCAAATTACTTAAGGAAAACTTGCAAAATTCGGATCGTTTCAAGTTCTAATCTTCAATTCCTCCACCATTGAACCTGCATATGATCATAATCTTGCACTACTGATCTCTTGATTGATTTGTTGGATCAAAATCTTGCCAGAATTGTGAAGGTCCAGCACTTGATGAACTTCCCATATCCATCGAAGACGATGAAGTCGTACAGTTCAAAACATTCGTAGGCATACCGTGCTCGTTAGCACCACGAAGAAACTGAGTGTAATCGAGAAGATTAGGGTACGTGCTCTGAGTCGGTGGCCGAAGTAGATGATGAGCTGCGGGCAGCTGAGAATTTGGTAGAAAATTAGTAGGCGGCACGGGGATTTGTAATTGCGGACGAGTGATGAAATAACCTAACTCGGTCCTCCCTTGAACTCGCTCGGGGAAATTGAGCTTCGCTTTGGTTCCTTTAAACCGAAGAGCCGCCTCGTCGTAGGCAAGTGCCGCTGCCTCGGCTGTCTCGAACGTGCCAAGCCACACCCTTGCCGCCTTTTGTGGATCGCGTATTTCCGCAGCCCATTTCCCCCAAGGTCTTTGCCTGACTCCTCTATAGTGTCTCCTCCTTTGGTTCCCTTCATTAAACAATCAATGATTATAGGTTTTCGAAACATGTTAGGACACGTAAAACGCTTTTGAATCTCTCTTCAAAAAGATCGAGAACTTAGTATTTAGCTGATGTGGGACTTCAACAGAAAGAATTACTTAAATACTGATTCAAGATCCTTTTGCATCAAAGATCTTTAAGCGAATACAGTAATCAGTTAACTACATAACATAACATAACAAGGGTGGTGTCTGATTGGGTCGAGCTTGGCTCCAAATGTCAAAAGTACCAGGAGGTCGCAGGTTCAAATCCAAGGAGAAATAAAAACCTCCTTGTGGCCACGGAGGTTCAATTGTGGTGACTCCGGGCTATCTGCAAAGCATGTGTTCGCCCTGAGATTAGTCGGCTGGCATAGCTGGTTGGATATCCAGGATATATATATATATATATATATAACGGTCCAAAAGGCTTCGTCTAGCAATATATACACGAGCGTGCACACACACATACACACACATGTATGGGTTCAGTGAGTAATTAGAGTGTGAATTACTGTGTCTAGGTTTAACGTTTGAAATATAAACACTCATGCCATGGATCGGTGAGTATTAACAACATGAATTACCAGAATTTGAGTTTAATGTTGAAATAGAAAACACATCGATTTGGGTTCTATAAATAATCATAGTCTAAATTACCATGTATGGATTCAACATCTGTGATTGTGTATAGATCTCACAGTTCTCATAAAATACAGAGTTCTCCATGAATAGCTGATATATATAACCGTAAATCATTCGACTCCTTAATTCATCATACAATCTTGCTATAGGTTAAGGATGCATTATACACGCACACGCACATGCACACACACACACATATATATATATATCAAATATATATAAGTGATTGTATGTAAAGCAAATTAAGGATTGAAATAATGAATTGAGTTATAATTAAAGGGTTCCTTAAGGTATAATATATATATATATATATATGTATGTATAGAACCCTAATATCCATCTGGTCCATCCCTTGGCTTAATATTTTTTTTTATTAACCTGGATATCCAATTCATTATGCGAGCTGACTAATCCAAGGCGACCTGCTTTGCAGATAGCCCGGATCCGTGGCCGCAAGAGGATTTTTATTTCTCCTTGGATTTGAATCTGGGACGTCCTGGTACTTTTGACATTTAAAGCCAAGCTCAAACCAATCAGACACCAGATTCCCTCGGCTTAATTAGAACCCTAGCTATATATATGACTAGCTAAATAACTACACATAATGGTTAGTCAATTATACACCCATCCAGCCTGTGGTACAGATGCTACTTACGTGCACAATCAAGTCGAATCAACATATCACAATTGAGAACTAGGGTTCGTACTCCATTATATATACAACTACACACACACACACATATATATATATATATATATATATATATAATATGGAGAGATTTTAGAAAGAGATACCTGGGTGATCTTGAATGGGTGGTGGTTGGTTTGCCGTAGGAGCAGAAGTGGAGATCAAGGGGACATCGGTGGTTCCGATGACCTGAGAAAGAGCAGAGACGATGGCAGACATGTCCTGCTGAGATCGAGGGGAGTAAACTGGAAATATCTGCTGTTGTTCATCATCAATATTATCGATATCATCATCATCTAGTTGTGATTGTGATTGTGATTCCGATTGATGATCGGGCGGAAGGCCCCTCTTCCCATGTCTCCGATGATCTGCCACCTTGACCTTTCTTTAATTAGAAAGATTGAGGAATTAGTCGCTTTCAGATGATGACACAGTATGATTATTAATATTGTAATCGGTGCTCATGAACAACATGCACTACTGCATCTACTTCTTACAAAGATAGACAGAAATATATATATATATAGGGAGAGAGAGAGAGAGAGAGAGAGAGAGAGAGAGAGAGAGAGAGAGAGAGAGAAGAGATAGAGAGAGAGAGAGATGTAAATGTAGGGTTTGGGGCAAGAATTTATAGTCATTGTGACAGGGAGAATACCCTCTTTTTCAACATCTCTTTTTCTATTAATTAATATTATATATATAGGGTTGGTTCACGTGAAACCTGTAAGACCAATTTATATTCACTGATTAACTTTATAAGCTAATGGTTTAAATGTCTAAAGTTGTACGTTGACAATTTTATGATTATTGAGAAGTCTCGTGACATTTATGAATGTTTAGATTGTAGATCTAATCCAAGGGTTGAGAATTGGTCTTACAGGTCTCGCGAAAAACTCTTGGTCTGACATGATCCCAAAATCTATATACATATATATATATATATATATATATACATATATATTATATACACACGTTTGATATATAACCATCTCTAAAACCAAAACCCTAATTTAACTTTAATTACTACTTGAATCCATCCATTTGTTAGAAAGAAAAAAAGTTCACATTTTTATTAAAATAGAATCCAAATTTTGAAATGTTTGTTTATAAGTGATTTCAAAGAATAAGTCAAATGGATTAAACGAGTCAAAAAGTCATTCAAAATAGTTATATATATATATATATATAT